AAAAAAAAAAAAAAAAAAGGTGACAGTTAAAAAGCAACAAAAAATTGTAGGCCCCATGTCTTTATTTCACACAAACAAGCACATTCGTCACAACATTCGACTTGCTGGGCTATGAAGCATCACTAGACACAACCTTGCCCATTATCAATGGCGCATGTTACCCGTGCGTCCTGTCCATGCTTCGATTGGCTACTCAGCCATAGGTCAGCCTCAAGCTCCTCTGTTTAGAGGCCAGTGAGAGCCCACCTTTCAGAGCTTTCAGTGACCCAGAGAGCCTGCTGTGGCATGGGCAATGCCAGGTCACCCCCACGGGTGTGGGTGTTACCTCTCATCCAAAGGCAGCCCCTTGAGTATTATAAACACTTATAATTTATATTATCAGGTATTTTAAGTATTAATGTCAGCAATATTTTATTTAATTATGCATTAATATTATTTTATAATTCAACATGTCTGTCATGTGTTGCAGTGGACATACAAAATGTGTCCATCTGGCTGACAATCCTAACTGCGGCTTGTTTTGGGGTAGGGTTTATATTACAAGCATCCTGAAAAATCGTGGTAGGGCTTATTTTCCATTTAGGTCTTATTTTTAGGGGAATGCAGTATGTACCTGGCTCATAGTAGGAACTCAACTTGGAAATTTTTAAATTGGTTCCAAGTGCAGTCCCCTGGGTATCAAGAAGTGAGGTTTCTCCTGTCGCCAAGGCCCTACGCCAGGTCAACAGCTGCCACTGATCCAGCCCAGTTTCTTGCAGAACATTTTTGCTTTGATTCTAAGTGACAGCATAACTCTGTTGCTGTTTTCCTGTTTCAGTGAGAGTAAAGCCTGTGCCCAACCTGGCCATGTACCACAACCCTCTTGTCTACTGCACCTGCTGGGACCCCTGGGGCCTGGGGCCAAGGAAGCTTATCAAGACCCCTCGGCCACCAAGCAAGTCCTCCTGCAGGATGCCCAAGTAAGGAGCTGGGACGGGCTGGGTGGAGCCAGAGACCAGGGGCCTGGGCCTCACTCACTGCCTTCTCTGTCTCAGGAGCTCACAGGAGCAAGCTGGGCTGGGCTTCTGCACCCTCCTGGCCCACCTGGGCTATACACCGACTGCCAGTCCTGCCAAGCTCAGTGTTTAAAGCTTGCAACAAAACACTGCTGTGGCCACATCTGTTCCTATGGGATGAGGGCCCTGGCCTGAGGTCTTAAAGGCCTTGGACCTTCAGGATCCCAGCTGTCCAACATAGACTTCGATTTTGAGTCCCCTTGGGAGTGTACTTGGTAGGGACTATGGAAACTGCTTTTTAATTTCCAGTGTGCTCCTTTTAGTTACGTATTTTTCACCTTCAGGCTAACTCCTGTGCTACCAGTTTTGAAAGAACACGATTACCTCCAGCCCCCACCAGCAACAAAGCCTACTGTTGCCCCAAAGTAAGTATTTAGGTCCAGAGGCAGGAATGGTTAGAGGCATGCGAGTAAAATGATCTCCCCCTTGACCCTCACAGCCCTGCCTGAGGTAAGTTAATCTACTGCCAGGGAGCCTGAGCATTGCCAGAACCCCCACGTGACCAGACCTCAGGCCTGGCACACAGATCCGGGCTCCTCTGTGCCTGTGGGTCTCCGTCCCTGCAGACCGGCTGTGCTCCTTGCTGTGCCCTGCAGACCCCTGGCATTCACAGTGGCCCCTCCCCTCTGTGGGTCACCTTCCTGTGTCAAACATTTTCTACAGATCTCATCGGTTTTCATCACAAATGACAAACTTACATTTGACAAACTTAGAAGTATAATTATGCTCTAGGAGTACTGCTTTTTGGCAGTAGTCTTTACATTCTATTTATTTGGAAACTATTTATTGAGCATGTGTGCTTTTCAGGTGCTGTTTCCTAGCTGGGGAAATAGCCATGAAGATAATACGGCCAGGAAAGCACCTGCAGTCCTGGAGCTTACATCCTAATGGGAGCTGGGGTGAGGAGGACCTGCCAATCCAAATCGCGCAGGCAGGGGTCAGCCCTCCCAACCTGGGGACCAGTGCCAGGCCCCACAGTGCCCGGCCCCCAACCCCGGGACACGAGTGGAGACAGGAAGGGATGGTGGCTGAGATGAGCTCAGAAAGAGCGACCATGCTTGGTGTGTAGGACAGGGGCCCAGAGATCGCCCCGAACAGCAGCCAGGCTCTGTTCCCGCTGAGGAGGAGCTAGGGCTGCAGATGGCATCAGGGTTGTGAGAGGAAGGGCCGGCCTGGATTTTCCATGGCTCTGGTATGATCACGAGGGTCCCCCTAGTGAAAGAGGAAGTTGGAGTGACAGAGTCAGCCAAGGGGACGTGGCACCCGCGCTGAGGGGCGACACTGACCTGGAAGACCAGAGGGAGGCGCAAGGGACTCAGGCAGCTTCCAGAGCCACCCCAGGGCCGAGGCCGAAGCCCTGCGGCACCATGATTGCAGCACAGGGAGACCCATTCTGTCCTCAGCCTCACGCGGCCTAAGTCAGTGGGTTCCCCGCTGACCCAGGGCTCCCCAAGAAGTCGAGTGACTGAGTTTGACAGCAGGGGTCGGGTGATGGTGATGCTGAGGCACAGCTCCCCATCACGCAAGAGGTGTGAAGAGGATTGTCAGGCAGAATTTAAAGCACACGCTCAAAGATACAGCACGGCCTGAGTAGAGGGAGAGGGACGGCCACCGCTTGGGCCTGAGGGAGTTTGTAGGGACTCGGGAGTGCAAATATGCTGAGCTGTGAGTCTGTGGGCAGAGGGCTTCGATTACAAATGCAAGGCTGCAGATCTTCCTGTAGGTGTGTACGGTCCGAGAGGGGTGTACACCACGCCACTCTAGGCCACGCTGCAACGTCCAGGGGTGGACAGCAAGCCACTGCTCTGCTAGCACTCGCACATCAAGGCAATCCTAAACCCAGCGTCAGAAAAGAACTAAAGAAGCAGGTTAAAATAAGAGACGACAGTTTATTTGAAGATGGGTAAAGAGGAAAAGAGACGACAGCTACTCTGGACCAGTAGTGAGAATTCGAAAGTGAACCGCTCATGGGTCTCTTGTCTGCAGCGGGTTTTATTGACATCTTTGTCCCAGGGAGGCTCCGGGAACCCGATTGGCTCCTGGCTTGTCTTTCATCCTAACCTTGGATTTCTCCCTCCATGCGACCTTTCCCTGACCTGTGTGGAGGTTAGGGTTACGGGCGGAGGACACCTTAAGGACGGGTAGTTTAGGCTAAAGGATTGAGTGAAGGGGAAGTTTGCGATTTTTTTGAAGCAAAGCATTCGTTGGTACATTTCAGATATACATAATGATAATATTCATAACAGGGAATTTGTGCCTTTACCTGATATTATATCTTGCTTCTTTTATTCCCATCCAGCCCTTCTTCCTCTCCTTATTTACAAATCTTCATTTCCATTTTTTCCTTCTACTCTTTTTTTTCTTGTCCCTTCAATCCCCTCTCCAGCCAGTGTTCCCCTTTTCATTGGAACATTTTCTTCCTGTTCCTCAACATCTCTTATACATTTTGGTCCTTATTGACACTTTTGGTTTCTCACACCAGAGAACAATGAGGTGTTTAAACGTGTGTCCTATTTATTTCATTTAAGAGTATGGTCTCAATGTCCATCCATTTAGCTAGAAATGTCTCGAGCTCACCCTTCTTTATGGCAGAGTCGTACTCCATTGCATTAAAAAACCACATCTTTATCTGTTTATCATTTGATGGGCATTTGGGTGGTTTCCAAGATTTAGCTGCTACAAACTGTGCCACTATAAACATGAGAACACATATGTTGATGTGGTATGATGCTTTTAATTGTTTTAGGAAAATACCAAGAAGAGGAATAGCTGTGTTGAATGGAACTTTAGTTTACTGAGAAGTCTCCACACTGATTTTCAGTGGTTGCACAAGTCTACACTCCCACCAGCAATGGAGAAGGGTTCTTTTTTCCCCACAGCCCCTCCAGCATTTGTTATTGGTGGATTTCTTGATGACAGCCAAACTTTCTGGAGTGAGATGGAATCTCAGCATTGTTTTAATTTGCATCGCTCAAATGACTGGTGTTGCTGAACATTTTTTTCATATATTTATTTGCTATTTCTACTTCTTCATCTGAGAAATGTCTATTTATTTCAGATGCCCACTTTTGGATTGGATCTTTAAATATGATGGGTCTGATTTTTTTTTTCAGTTCTTTATATATTTTAGATATCAGTCCTTTAAGGAACAGCTGGCAAAAATTTTTTTCTTGTGAGTTGTCTGTTCACTTTTGGCAATTTCTTTTGCTATGCAAAAGCTTTTTAATAATCTGAGATCCTAGTTGTTGGTTCTTTGTGATATTTCAGGTCCAATCAGGGTTTTGTTCACAAGGTCTTTGCCTAAACCAATGTCTTCAGGAGTACTACCTATTCTGTCTCCTAGCAGATTTAGAGTTTCTGTTTTAATATGTAGATCTTTGATCCATTTTTATTTTAATTTAGCACATGGTGAAAGATATGGGCCTAGTTTTAATTTTTGGAATGTGGCTGAGTGTGTTTGGAGTTATTTCTGCATCTTCTAATCTGGTCCATTGATCCTTGGGTCCAGTACCATGCTGTTTTAATCACAGTAACAGTAGTATAATTTCAAATCAGGGATTGTGATGCCTCTTGCCCTTGCCTTTGTTGCCCAAAATTGCTTTTGCTATTCTAGGTTTCTTTTGGCTCCAAAGGCATTTTAGGATTGTTTTTTCTAATTCTGTGAGATATGCTGTTGGAATTTGATTGGGATTACATTAAATCTGTATAACAATTTTGGAAATATGGCCATTTTCACTATATTAGTTCTTCCTACCCAAGTAAAGGGATCTTTCCATATTTTCATCTCTTCCATCACCTTTTCCAGGGTACTATAGCCTTCCATGTAAAGGTCTTTTACTTCCTTTGTTAGACTGATTCCTGAGTATTTCATTTTTTGGATGCTATTGTGAAAGGTACTGTTTCTCTAATTTTTCTCTTGCTGAATTTGTCATTTGTGTATAGGAAGGCTATTGATTTTTGAGTATTGATTTTGTTTCCAGCTATGCTACTGAATTTGTTTTTAAATATAGAAGTATTTTGGTAGTTTTTCATGTCTCCTAAATAGAGTATCATTTCATCTACAAATAAAGATAATTTAACTCTTCCTTTCCTATTCTTATTCCTTTCTTTTTTTTTCTTTTGTTTAAATGCTCCGGCTAATGTTTCCAGAACTGTATTGAATAAGATTTAGCTCAAAAGCACAGAGTCCTGAGTTCAATCCCTGGTACCACACACACACACACACACACACACACACACACGAACAAAAGAATGGTGACAGTGGACATCTTGTCTTTTTCCTGACTTTAGAGTGAAAGCTTTCAGTTTTTTTTCATTTAGTAGGATGCTGACTGTTGGTTTGTTGTGGATGGCAATTATCAGATTGAGATAAAGACCATGTATTCCAATTTTCTGTAGGGTTTTTATAATGAATGGTTGTTGGACTTTGTCAAATGCTTCTTCTACATCTATTGAGATGATCATGTGGATTTTGTCTTTGGCTCTATTAATATGGTGTATTACACTCATTAGTTTTTGTATGTTGAACCACCCCTGCATCCTTGGAATGAATTCTAGATCATGATACATGATCTTCTTGCTGACTTGCTGCAGTCTGTTTGCCAGTATCTTACTGAGAATTTTTGTGTCTATATTCATTAGGAAGATTGGTCTGTGGTTTGTTTTTGTTGAGTCTTTCTCTGGTTTTGATATCAGGGTAATGCTTGCTTCTAGGAATGAATTTGGAAGTATTGCTTTCCTTTCAATTTCATTAAAAAGTTTGAGGAATAGTGGCATTAGAACTTCTCTAAATTTCTTTTAGAATTCAGGGCCTGGGCTTTTCTTTGTTAGCAGATTAATTATATCTTCAATTTCATTGAGTGATATTGGTTTATTTATAATTTTTATATCTTCTTGGTTCAGCTTTGGTAATGCATATGTATACAGAAGTCTGTCCATTTCTTCTGTGTTTTCCATCTTATTAGAATAAATGTTCTCAAAGTAGGTGCTGATGATCTTCTGGATTTCTGTAGAATCTGTTGCATTTTCACTCCTAATTGCATGGATTAGAGTCTTTTCTTTCCTTTTTTTTTTTTTTGATAAGGTTAGCTAAGGGTCTGTCAATTTTATTTAATCTTGCAAAGAACCAACTCTTCAATTCATTGATTCCTGGTATTGTTCTCTAAGTCTCTATAACATTAAGTTCTTCCCTGATTTTTATAATTTCCTCCCTCATATGAGTTTTGGGCTTGACTTGCTCTTCTTTTTCTAGAAGTTTGAGGTTCAATGTTAAGTTGTTTATTTTAGCTCACTTTGTTTTTCTGATATGGCAATTCACCGCTATAAATTTGTCTTATAGGATTGCTTTTGTTGTGTCTTATAAGTT